ATTAACGCAGTCATGACAGGGAACATGGAAATTGTGAGTATTTTGAGAGCTGTTCTAAAGAATAAAGCTGATATTTTTTGCAACGAGAATATATTTTTGACGAGCCGAAGGCGTACAATCGCCGGGTTAGAGTTATGGTTAGGTTAGGGGTGGGTGTTTATAAAAGCATATTTAATACATAAAATGACAAATTTATCTAAGATGAGGGATTTTAGATCATGAAATCATGAGGAGAAAAAAAGTTGGTCGAGCTGTCCCCCGAAGAACCCCACCCTGGACAACTCGACCTGGTGTCCAGGGGCTTTGCGTCGGTGTTGTCTAGAATTCCAACTTACTCCACATAGACATTACACGTAAACGAAAAATAGGATTTTCAATTCACATCTTGTCGTTGGAATATCGCCATGATCCCAACATCTGATTTATAGAAAAAAAATGTGACCTTAAGTGTAGAGAATTTTCTCAGCTACAACATATTCGAAGCTTGCAGAAAATCGAGAAAAAATAATCGAGATATTGCTCAAACAAGACTAGAATGTCCTAATGCAGATTTCAGAAAAAGTCACCTCCAATAGGCATGACACGCAAACTAAGAAAATTCTGACATGTCGCATTCAATCAAAATTGTCACTGTGATGACGTCATCAAAGTGAAACATGGTGAGATATAAGGAGACGGAAGGAGACTGGGTAGTCATGTAAAAATACATGAGATGGACCGAGGGATGAAAGAGAAATCAGAATGCATATAGGCTACTTGGAAGGGGTGAAAAAAGAATACAAAGGGCAAAGGAAAGAGGTAAAGGAAATTAAGGAACATCCTATACGACATAAGAGGGAGAACGGGAGCCAAAGGCGGGAAAAGGAGAGCTGGCCGGTGAAAGAGTAGAGACAGATCGAGGGAGACATCAGCTAGAGCAGATCAAGAGGGAGGCAGAGCAAGAGAGGGAGAGGGTGAAAGCGTAGAGAGAGATCGAGATATAGTAGTCGAAAAAGATGATAAAATCACTGATAAGAAACGAAAGCAAATTTTTAAAAAAATTACACCGGAATGGAAGTCGAGTGCTTTAACCAATATACCAAAATATGTCCCTTAGACAATACATGTAAAGCTGACAAACGGCCTTGGCATAGTCGCTATTTCAACTTTCAATTGAAAATTTCGACATGATTTCAACATCAGATCAAAAAACGGAAGGCACACTTAAGATAGCTCATATTATCAGCTATAACATGCTTAAATTGTGGGGGAAATAGACCAAAAAACGATGAAGATATTGCTCGCGAAAGAGGGGAATATTGAATCCAGTTTTGAAAAAAAAAGTCATATAAAAATGTGAAAAATTGACAGGCCTCCTTTAATCGCAAAAATACGCCATGATTCCTTTGTCAAAATGAAATATCGTGTCGACTGCATTTGTAGAGAATTATCTCAGCTAGAACATATTAAAATTAGGAAGAAAATCAATTAATTTTTACAGAGATACAATCGATTTTCAAAAATATGCTGACGTCATAATATGCAAATTGAAATTTTGAGTTCGGATGACGTCATGAGTTAATTGAGAGTCAAATAAGACATGAAATCATATCTCCGTTTCATACTCTATCAAAATATGGAAAAAAAACTGATCTTGAGTTATCCTGTTAACAAAAAAGTGTGCAAATAAATAAAAATAAAGAACAAAAATAAACTACTTGATCATGATCATGATTGTCATGATGATGATAATGATAACCATGATGATGATCATGAGCGTGATCCTGACATCTGATTGAAAAAATGAGGGGACATTTAGATAGCATATAGGCTCAGCTACAACATACACAAAAATCAACAAAAACCAAGCCGAAATAACGGCGATATTGCTCGCAAAAGATAAGAATGTAGAATCCAGATTTGAGAAAAAGTCATCTCCCATAAGGATTACACGCAAAAAGTAATGGATCAAGTGATAACAGGGTAATAATAAAGTAAATATGGTTGTTTATTACATTATTTGCGATTGTACGTGTTTTAATATTCAAAGGAGATGGTAGAGTGAAAGGTCAAAAAGAAAAAAAAGTGAAGAAAAAAAAAATTGTTGGAGACGCCCGGACTCGAACCAGGGACCTCGAGGTCGGAAGTCAAGTGCCTTACTGATATACCAAAACATTTCCCATAGAGATTACACGTAAACGGAAAATAGAATTTACAAATCCCACTTTGTAAGTGAAATATGAGCATGATCCCGGCATCTGACCAAAAAATAAAGGGCACACTTATGATAGCTTATTGTCTCAGCTACAACATACTCAAAGCTCAGCGAAAACAAAGCTAAAAAAACGGAGATATTGCTCGCAAAAGACAGGATGTAGAATCCAGTTTTGAGAAAAAGTCATGTCCCATAGAGAATACACGCAAAATGTGAAAAATTGACATGCCACCTTTAATCGCAAAAATACGCCATGATACCTTTGTCAAAATGAAATATTGTGGCAACTGCATTTGTAGAAAATTGTCTCAGCTAGATCATATCAAAATTTGGAAGAAAATCAATCAATATTTACAGAGATACAGTCAATTTTCCAGAAAAATACTGACGTCATAATATGCAAATTGAAATTTTGAGTTGGGAGGCCATTATGATGACGTCATGAGTTAATTGAGGGTCAAATGAGACATGAAATCATATTTCCAATTCATACTCTATCAAAATATGGAGAAAAAAATTGGGTTCACTTTGCATCCTAAAGCGCTACAATGGATTTTGTATGGCATGTTTTTGCCCATGTATGCTATGTATTACAAGAGCTCGCACGCACGGAAATTATCTTAAACGGACGCTCATTCCGTTATTAATGGTCAGAAAAAGGTGAACAAGGTATCAAAATGCTTGGAAAAATGTGTCAAATATGATGACAGAAAAAAATTGGCGATTCTATGTAGGAAAAAGCAATTACGCGCGAAAACGCGCGCGCATGTGCGTGCGCGCGTTTTTTGCAAAATGCTTAAAATGGCCTGAAACGTATGCAAAAAAATTTGAGACGATTTGGAGCATTTTTATTTTTTGCGCGCGCGGTGACGCGCGGACGTACGCATGCGCGCGCGTTTTCTGACCTGAAATTGACCGGACAGATATTGACCTTAATCGTGATAAATATGAATGAGAAATGCCTTTCCGTTATGAAGATATGATCATGAGTAAAAAGTACCAAAAAAAACACAAAATGGCGCCTGGATGACGTCATGAAAACTTGATGACCTTGAAAATGTTACTCTAACGTCTCATGACAATGACCTACGACTGTGCCAAAATTGAACGAAATTGACTAAACTGATCTTGAGTTATCCTGTTAACAAAAAAGTGTGAAAATAAATAAAAATAAATAATAATAATAATAAAGAAAGAAAATTCTGACGAAAACAATAGGTGATCTGTCGTTGACAGACCACCTAACTAGACTTGAATTCGTCACGAAGACGAAAAGGTGGTCTGTCTAAGTCTTATGATAGATTTGAGAAGGGAGAAGTTATATAGACATGTAAACAATGATGATGATGATGATGATGATCTTGATAGTAATGGTGATGACGATGATGACGATGATAATGATTAATGTTGATGATGACGATGATGATGTTGATGATTATGATCATGATCATGATGATCATGATCATGATCGTGAGCATGATCCTGACATCTGATTGAAAAAATGAGGGAGATTTAGATAGCATATAGTCTCAGCTACATTATACTCAAAAATCAATAAAAAACAAGCAAAAATAACGGCGATATTGCTCGCAAAAGACAGGAATGTAGAATCCAGATTTGAGAAAAAGTCATGTCCAATAGAGAATACACGCAAAATGTGAAAATTGACATGCCTCCTTTAATCGCAAAAATACGCCATGATGCTTTGTCAAAATGAAAAATCGTGGCGACGGCATTTGTTGAAAATTGTCTCAGTCGGCTAAAACATATCAAAATTTGGAAGAAAATTGATCAACATTTACAGAGATACACTGCAAACAGTATGCCTAGGTGTGATTGTTACGTCACAATGATGGAGTTCGGTCATAGTGCGCATTTTGTTATATGCGTAATATTACATTGTCATGGTCACCAGCAGCTGGTGCGGATGAAATGTACAACTGGCTCGATTATTGCTCACTACTTTCCCACGCATTTGCCGTTGACTTTTCAGATCGAGCAATAATATTTATAATGTATTTCGTATAGGCGTGTTTTTGCCCATATGCTATATATTAAAAGAGCTCGCACGCAATAATGCAAGGCCGTCCAGAGGATTTTTTATGTTGAAAAACCGGGGTTAAAATGCAATAAAATTATTGAAATATTATTGCATTTTCCGTTTTTTTTTTTTAATTCATGGAAACTGCCCTACCCTAGCCCCCGATGCGTATACAGTCATGGTCAGTGACAAAGCAATGGCCTCGTAACTGTGAGGCCCAGGATCAAAAAACCGTGTCGATGTTGCTCAAGGGCCCTTTTATGGGGCATTAATCCCATTACTGTCATTTATGACTTAAGGGCATAGGCCCCTAGTTGATAAGCATAGGAGCATATACATGATTTAGCAGTACGCAAAAACACACATGGGCAAAAATTGTTCAATAAAATCTGAGAATTATACTATTATTTATCTAGAATCTAGTATTTTGAAAAATTTATTTTTTAAAATAATTCCATAAAATTCCGGATAAAACAAAAATATTCCACCTTTATGAGCGACAGTGTAGGAGGCTGCCCCCAAAACAGAAGTGGGCGGGGACGCTAAACATGTATATTCTTTTTACATGCCTAAACGACAAGGTATCAGATATCCATTGTTTTGACATTCCTTTTCCCTTAGATATAAAAAAAAAAACACGCAAAAAATCATGCATATTCGTGAGGAAGATATGCGGAGAAAATACTGGGCGAATTGTCTGTAGGGCGAATTTAATCTGACAAGATTTTGGCCGATTCGAAATTGCATGCACACTAGTACTCATGGTCATATGAATATGAGTATCCGAGTAACTGCTGTTTTGTGCTGTTGTGCTGATTGCTAGCTTAGCTTTGGTAAGAAATCGGTTGTTGCTATTGTATTACTTTATCGTGAATCCTTCTTATTAGTTTGTTGGAGATTTTGCGTATCGAATAAGTGTGTGGAGTGTAAAACTTTTAAGGCATTGACTTTGTTTATATCTATAATAATGTTTGCAGTTAACAAATCAAGTCTGAGATGCGATACATTCTACGTAACATGTATAGCCTAGGGTCTACGTGTAATAATCATCAGCTCAGCGAGTGTGATTGTGATTGAATTTGATAGCCCTACGAAAAAACAAAAAGGAAGTGTTTCAAAAAAAGTGAAAATCTTTGACTCAGTTTGGACCTTGAGTGACCGGTTTTACCATACTCATGTCCCCCAATAGACCGTAGACAGTCTAGATCTAGTTCTAGAATCTAGGTCAGTGTTTGTTATAAATAAAAAACCGTATAGGTCCGTAGGATCTAGGCCAGTACTATATACTACTAGATCTGAGATACTAGATCTATCTGACTATAGGCCTAGATTAGGGAGGCCAATGCCAGGGCGTAAGGCTTCTACGCCTACGATTTGTGCGCTCGTCGTCCAACTCCAAGTCAGAAAATACCAGAAGAAAAAAAAAAGGGGAAAAAAAAGAAAACAAATATCTAGGGTCTATGGAAAAAATGTATAACAATACACAATTAAACACTCCACAACATACCTATAGATCACGGATCTGTAACGATCTTCACCATTTATTGACGATCTTGCAGATTTTGACGATTTGATCCAAATAATTGGGCTAGCAGACGAAAAAAAAAACGGAAGCACAGAGAAACTAGAGGGTGATGAGGTTAGCTCACTAAAATCCTTCCAATGACTGAAGGTAGATCCAAAAATATGGAACCAATTTATATCAAAGAACTTTTGAAAGAGATAAAAATATCAGATGTGCACAAATGTCACTTTAAACAAATAGAAAATATAACGAAAAAAAAGATTATATCTTTTTATTGCAGATTTTTACAAATGCACATTCGAAGGTAGATAGAGTACGATGGTTTTGTCAATCTTGCGTTGGTTTGAGCAATACTAGCTAGAGCCATCTCAAATTGAGAAGGAAAATGGTGAACAGAGACTCATTGTTTGAGCCCCAAATAGAAGTCTTGCGACATCATAATATGAATATTTATGAGCTCCGGTCTCATCGCGCGCAAAACAAATTTGACGTAGTCTCACAATAGTACCTTTTTCTCAGCACTAGACACCAGTGTCGTGCAGTAATGTATGAGAATTAAAAAAAAAGACATTTCAGTATAAAAAAAAAAAAAGTCTACGTGAGCAGCTATACTCCAATTGAGAAGTGAATGAATGCCATGATTTGAGCGTGTGTGTATTTTAGTGTATGATATCATCATATGGTTAGTGAGAGAGAGAGAGAGAGAGGGAGAGAAATATCTCCGTAAGTAGTACAACGTCTATCAATGCGTGCAGTCATATTTGATTCGTATTGTGATCGCTGAATGCAAGTGCAAGTTGGATATCGATCGATGATAATGCAGTGTCAGATCTTTACTGATGTCTGAGGAAATAGTAATTGGAATACATCACAAAACTAAGGTAGGCCTATTTATTTATTTAATTTTTTAATTACTTTCTTAATTACAATGAGTGGCTTCGAGCTTTCTCATCCATTATGTTTTGACCCTCCATGCCATGGCTAGCATGGTCGATCGCGGCTTGCATGCAATTACCGTAATGGCTGCTGCAGTACTTGTCGGTGTGTGCGACTAATTCAAGGCTAGCCGGTGATGATGAATGTACTTTCGCGCGAAGTTTTGAACTTGTTGTCCGGGCAAGACCATGATGACACGCCCATTCCCTCGGGCCTGTCTAATTTCAACGTAATTGAAATTGATTGTTTCAAGGCTCTTACGACGCAGGCGTAGAAGGAACCTCATAGGAACTAGCTGGATATCTCCTATTTTATGGAATTCTGGAGTCGGCAGATGGGTGAGTTTTCTTAGTGAAAGAAAATGCTTTCTTTTAAATGTTTGTTTTATTATAAAAAAATTAGTAATTAAAAAGTTAGATTTGGGCATTGGACTTCTACCTAGATCATAGATCTAGACTAGACCTAGATCTAGTCTAGATCTATTAATTTCTAATTCCAATCATAAATATCTGATAGTTGATAATTAGACAGGTCACAGATGACAGGCGATCGGCTTGTAAAAGTCATGGGATAATAATTATCGCCTCGCCAAAGAAGGAGGGGATCTAGACCCCTGTATTAATATGCTGCTCGATGCCTTCCTTCTTTGTGCCGTAACAAATCTGGTTTAAATAAATAACTTTAGTAATGTTGACGGATTTTAATGAAATTTGATATGAAGGAAATGGTAGATCTATAAAACACAGCATAAGTCAATTTCGGAGTTTGTAGGTCAAAGGTCATGGCTCATTAAATATGCGAATCTGGTTTCTATTCGATAACTTTAGTAATGTTTGACGATTTTTAATGAAATTTGATAGGAAGGTACATGGTTTAAAAACATAGCATAAGTTCAATTTTGGAGTATGTAGGTCAAAGGTCATAGCTCATTAATATGCGAATCTGGTTTCTGTTTGATAACTGTATATTATTGATGGATTTTCATGAAATTCGATATGAAGGTACATAGTATAAAAACACGCATAAGTTCAATTTCCGAGTATGTAGGTCAAAGGTCATAGCTTCATTAAATATGCGAATCTGGTTTAAAATCAATAACTTTAGTAATGTTTGACCAATTTTAATGAAATTTGATATGAAGGTAAATGGTATAAAAAACACAGCATAAATTCAATTTCGGAGTATGTAGGTCAAAGGTCATGGCTCATTAAATATGCGAATCTGGTTTCGATCGATAACTTTAGTAATGTTTGACAGATTTTAATAAATTTGATATGAAGTACATGCTATCAAAATACAGCATAAGTTCAGTTTCGGAGTATGTAGGTCAAAGGTCATAGCTCTATAAATGTGCAAATCTGGTTTTATTCGATAACTTTAGTAATGTTTGACGGATTTTAATGAAATTGATAGGAAGGTACATGGTATAAAAGGCAAGTTCAGTAGTCTCGGAAAAATGCGCAGTGCTCGTCGTTAGCTGTAATGCGTTATCAGAACAAACCCAAACAAAGACGTGATCGTAACGAGAAAAAAATCATTAAAAATACAGAGAGCACAATTGGAAAGACAACTACTCAAAATTATCGTAAGCGATACATAACTGGAGGAAGAATACAATAGTTTGTCCAGGAAAAGCCACATAAATAGTGATATTTAAGGAGTTACTACAGGTACAATCATTATCCGAATGGGCCTGCTGATATGTCAGAATTACACGTGTTTAAATTGAACACGAGGCTATAGAAACCAAAATACGCCCTCTACGGTGAAAAGCAGTATAACAAAGGATTCTAGTATTTGCAGCAGCGATAAAAATGTACCCAGTTACCCTCGATTATCACAATTTCTGTGGCATTTCTGGGCGATTATTGAATTCTTTGTCAAGTTATGTACCCGATTATGGTAATTTTGAGCATAGTTGTCTTTCAATTGCGCTACTCGTAGTTTTTAATGATTTTTTTCTCGTTACGATCACGTCTTTGTTGGGTTCGTTCTGGCACGCATTACAGCTAACGACGAGCACTGGCATTTTCCGAGACTAGTCTGAACTTGCTTGCAAAGGCATCCGTATCGAAACTTCGGATTACCAAGTAATTTTCAGCTTTTAAAAAAAAAAGCATCGATGTTTAAAATAAGAGATAAATATTATTTGTCTTTAAAAAATTATATGATCGGATATTGTAAAGAAGAATTTTAGAAAGCTGTTATTATTCTAACATTCATATTTTTTGACCAGATTTATTCAACCTGCATAAATCAAAATGGGGCTGAACGTTGTCATTCTATTTTTGCCCCAGTTTTTTTTACTTTTAGAGGCACGATAATGGCACTAAACATCGCCAATCATGGATGAAAATAATGTCAAATGGAAGAAATACCGATCTGAGCCGATGGTATGCATTAGTTAATGATTTGATTGATAAAAAAGGTCACTTTTAAGGGACATACTGATGATAATAATCATGATATGCGCTTTTTAAGAGGCAAGTGACAAATCCTGCGAGCTGATTTCGGGGACACCGGGTCCCGATAGGTGCAAGGCCGTCGGGACCCGGTTTATGAAAATCCCGACATGACTCAGCCTAATCAAAACACGGCTAAGTTTGATTTCCCAGTATATAGGTCAAAGGTCATAGCTCATTAAATATGCGAATCTGGTTTCTGAAATTGATAACTTTAGTAATGTTTGACGGATTTTAATCAAATTTGATATGAAAGTACATGGCATCAAAACATGGCCTAAGTTTGATTCCCAGTATGTACCCTGCGAGGGGATGCTATGCTTTGCGTTGACTTGTTTATTTATGTCATTTAGCATTATGAATGAGGGCTCATTATTTGTATTTATTGTAATATATTCATATTGGTATTTTATTAAATGTAATTTTTTGTTTTTTTTGTTTGTATTTTAGGTTACTGAGAGTTCAAGAGTTGCAGAAAGTAAGTTGATATGCTTAGAAAGGCTGAAGTCAAGTAGTTTTTAAATTAAAGCTATGACGGAATGAAACAGATCCGCATAATTGGGAAAATTGAATGCAGAATACGAAAGCTATGGCTTTTAGAAATTGTCTATATAACTTTTTGGACACTACCAAGTTACTTGTAATTATGTCAGTAAAGGTATAGACCAGTTTTGGAAACGCCCCCCTCTCAAAAAATGAAATGGTACCTTTTATTACCAATCATGTGAAAGAATATGTTTTGACTAATACCTGATGATACAAATTTTGATACTAATTGATATATTGGTAAATTATATCTATCCGGAGTGGATAGATATCGCGCATGTGTCGCATAGTCCCATATACATCTTTCTGTGTACAGTGCTTGTAACTTTACCATGACTGGGTCAAATTTCTCATCATTTTGATGATCCACAACTTTCAGTACACACCAATACTTACCGTATATGCTAGATGATCAACTTTTGTGATCGATTCCACAACGTTTCCGAAAAAAGTTTGTTTAAACACCTAGTGCAAATGATAGATGTATTTTGATTTTAGTCCAATGCAATACATATAGTACAGGTGACCTTGCCTAAGTCGAACTTGGATAAGTCAAAAATTGCTATGGTTGAACGTCTACACGTAGCCCATCCTGTTTTGTCCCATTATTTTATAACCCTCCTAAATCAAAATTTGTCTAAGTCAAAGCTATTTTATGGGTCCCAAAAGATTTGAGTTAGGCCATTAATTTTTGTTTACATGTTTAGCGTCCAAGCATGCAATCGCATGACCAAAACTGGTCTTTACCTTTAAAGGTACTATGTCCCATTTGCAGGCCAACAAATGAGAAGGCTACATTCGAACGGCATTTGAAAGATAATACTAATTTAGAAGTTCCCCTAAAAAAAAGGGGGGGGGGGGGCTTGAAAATGTCTTTAAGTTGGAAAATAACGACTATTAGTTGTCGAATCGACTAAGAACTATAGAGCCAGTAAGTAATGGTCTTATTTTCAGACCATTGTACCGAATGGTCGTACATTTTATGCTGCGCAAAGATTCAATCAGTTTTAATTTTGGCCATTAACAAGCAGAAGTGGGATATTGATGTGACAAATGTTCATATACCCTTTTACAGTCTCCTTTACAGTCACATGTACATGTGGTATTACCAAAGAAGAAAAAAGCCAGTGAGTCACTCAATAGTGTCTGACAGGGAAGCTAGTATAGCAAGTAAACGGGTTTCTTTGCATAATATGAATATTAGGACACTGCTAATGTTTAAATTTGACAGATAGGACATACATGACATATTCATAATTTCTGCAAAGTTCTACATAATTTGATGTTGGCTGCAAAAGGGACCATCATAGTATCTTTAAGCATTGGATGAGGGCTCACTATTTGTATTTATTTGTGTAATATATTCATATTGGTATTTCATGAAATGCAATTGTTTTTTTCTTTTCTTTTTTTCTTTCAGGTTATTGACTGTTTTCAGAGTTGCAGAGAGTTGCAGAGAGTTGCAGAGAGTAAGTTGATCTGCTTAAGAAGGCTGAAGTCAAGTAGTTTTTAAATTAAAGCTACAATGGAATGAAACAGATCTGCATAATTGGGAACATAATTGAACGGAATAGGAAAGCTATGGCTTAATGAAATTTCTATATAACATTTTTGACACTTCCGTAGGTATGCAACATAATTTTGTGGACAATTCATAATACTCTTCCATTGGTGTAGCCAAAATTTGAAGAGAATCCATAGTGAATTATGTAAGGAGTTGATAAAAGAAGAAAAAGTTTTTTTCATTGAACACCTAGTGCAAACGTATAGATGTATTTGATGGTTAGTCCAATGCAAAACATATAGTACAGGTGACCTTGCCTAAGTCGAACTGGGATAAGTCAAAAATTGCTATGGTTGAATGTCTACACGTAGCCCATCCTGTTTTGTCCCATTATTTTATAAACCTCCTAAATCAAAATTTGTCTAAAGTCAAAGCTATTTTATGGGTCCCCAAAAGATTTGAGTTAGGCCATTAATTTTGTTTACATGTTTAGCGTCCCAATGCAATCGCATGAACAAAACTGGTCTTTACCTTTTAAAGGTACTATGTCCCATTTGCAGGCCAACAAAATGAGGAGGTTACATTCCAACGGCATTTGAAAGATAATACTAATTTAGAACTTCCCTAAAAAAAAGGGGGGGGGGGGCTTGAAAATGTCTTTAAGTTGGAAATAACAACTATTAGTTGTCGAATCGACTTAAGAACTATAGAGCCAGTAATAATGGTCTTATTTTCAGACCATTGTACCGAATGGTCGACATTTTATGCTGCCGCAAAGATTCAATCAGTTTAATTTTGGCCATTACAGCAGAAGTGGGATATTGATGTTGACAAATGTTCATATACCCTTTACAGCTCATTTTATGTACATGTATGTTATTACCAAAGAAAAAAAAGCCAGTGAGTCACTCAATAGTGTCTGACAGTGAAGCTAGTCTAGCAAGTAAACGGGTTTCTTTGCATAATATGAATATTAGGACACTGCTAATGTTTAAATTTGACAGATAGACATACATGACATATTCATAATTTCTGCAAAGTTCTTCAGAATTTGATGTTGGCTGCAAAAGGGACATAGTATCTTTAAGCATGGATGAGGCTCACTATTGTATTTGCGTTGCCAATTTGAGGATCCCCATAGAAAGTACAACAAGTGTTTTTCAAACTTTCATAACTCTCTATTTTATAGCCGATTTGTGATGAAACTTTTTTGAAATTGCTTCTCTCATATTACTCTTTCGTATGAGATGATTTTTCTCCTTGGGTTTGGTTTCCTTTTAGTTTTTGTGAGCAGATTTTTTACATTTAGGGTGTTTTATCACTATGACTATA